ACGTTCACTGTTCACTGGACCTCCAAGAACAGAAAAGGAAGAATGATCCTTCCCGCCCCAATCATCAGGAAGCAGGGCCACTGAGCTGGAGCTCCGCGTCAGCGTGCTGAGGACACGTTCACTGTTCACTGGACCTCCAAGAACAGAAAAGGAAGAATGATCCTTCCCGCCCCAACCATCAGGAAGCAGGGCCACTGAGCTGGAGCTCCGCGTCAGCGTGCTGAGGGCATCTGTCTACGCCTGGGCAGAGAAGTTACCTTCTAGCTTTTCTCACAAAGAATTAGCCTAAGAAGGCCACACCAAGCACGGTAACTGCACCCAAGGCATCCCTGTAGACCACGGCTGACTGTGTGAGGGCCAGAGGATTCTGGATCAGAAAGGTAATGACACCTCAAACACCAGAGTTTCTTAGCTAATTCTCTGGGAGGCCTGGGCTCCAGGGGACGTGGCCTCACCCCACCACAAGTCCTCCTGGGGGGCTATAAGTAGTGCTCACACGCCAAGTCCCACCTGCTGTAGGGGAGTCTGCTCGACCCAAGATCAAACGACTAATCCCGGGTCTTAACTGACTACCAGGGAGACCAGCGGTGTCTTCTTGCACCAAGATTAGAGGGGGCAGCAGCAGGCCTGAAATCTGGGACCCAGGACCGATCCCAAAGTGCTGTGAAGCCTGAACACCGATACCCTGTTCCACAGGAGGTGCAGAAAAAGGGCATGAGACAGAGCCAGGACGAGGGGCTGGAGTTCCCAGGTTGGCTGTGTCTGAGCCACATTTGGGCAGGACCATCCCCAAGGACTCAGCCTTGAGAAAGTCAAAGAGTTTTCTCTGTGCCTCAGTATCCCTCTTGGTAAAAGTGAGGAAGGGAGGGCTGCTCCTCAGGGAGACAGCCAGTGACACGGCCCAGCAGGCACCAGAGAAACGGCACCCTGACCTCTGGGTCAGGAGACATCAACTGGTGGTGGGGGGCTGCCCTACACATGCAGGGTAGCTCAGGGAGGTGAGGCCCCATCCCCACAGGGCCTCTGGGAGGCTGAGTGCGCCTCGTGTCCCGGGCCTCTGTCCCCCAGTGCTGTAGCACCACGGCCTTCCACTTGACCCGATGCAAGCTCCTGTGCTTCCGAACACAGGCTGAGCTCCCCCGTCTCACGAAGCTGTTGCCAGAAAGCAAGGTTTTGTTTTGAACGGTTTTGATGGGTCTCCTCAAGACAAAAACTTTTTTCTACATATAGCTGCTTTAATTAAAAACAAAACAACAAAAAAAGGCAAAACAAAACATGGGCACATGAAACGAAAACAAATCTCAAACCAGGTTCTGGACATTTTCAACACCAAATCTAAGAGAAGGAGAACAAAAAAAGAAAAGATAATTTCTGAAATAATGCTGGAAACAGGACGTGGTGTCAGATATGCATTAAAAACAAATGATCACAACAGGAAGCATTTCCCTGTGAACAGGTTCCTCCAGCTTTCCCACGTGGGGAAGCCCCAGCACTGCCAAGCGACCTGTGCTGTGGTCACCGCCAGGGCGGCCCAAGGTGGCCCCAGCCGGTCCCCAGCGGGCCAGCTGGGCGATTTCACAGCGCACACGTCACTGAGTGAGAAGTTGCCCCCGGTCAGGACCTGCTGCACATGTGTTAGAACTCACAGGCTGCTAAAGAAACACTCACCTATGGCAGAGCCGTTGAGGAAAAGCGCAATGCCAAAGAGGACGCCAATGCAGAGTGCAAGGATGAACGGCCGGCGGCGGCCCCAGCTCAGGGTGCACCGGTCACTCGCAGACCCGATGAGAGGCGTGAAGATGAGGCCGAGGATGGGGCTCAGGAACCAGGTGAGGCTGTAGTACTGCTCCGGAAGGCCTGCCAGAGACACACGCGCCATTACACGTGCAGGCACGCGTGCACATGTCACATGGCTAGGCTCTGCTGCAGTCTGCTCAAGGAGCATCAGGACAGACAGATGCCTTTGTGTACACACACATGTGCAGCACACCCTCCCCAGAGAATACTCCTGGATAGACTTTCTTTTCCCTGCAAGGCTAGGTGATCTGAAATCAGCCAAATCCTATCTGGTATGCACTGGGTGGCCAGAGAAAAGCACAAGGGCCTTGGAATGGGCAAGTGGGCCCCACCTGCAGGGGCACCAGCCTAGGGAGCAGCACATGCTGGACTCAGCCAATGTGGCTGGACTGTGTGGCAGGCCTGCACGCAGGTGCTTGGGGGTGGCTATGGCACCAGGCCGAGGCCCTCTCCACACTGCTGGTGCTGACCAAGGTCTAAGGGGCTGCTGAAGGCTCCCTCAAGGGCACCAAGCATGAACCCACCATCCCTGGACACCCAACAGTCCATAAGAGCAGGTGCGGGCTTTACCTCAGAGAGGTGGTAGGGGTCCATGACTTGGGGACCTCATTGGCTGAAAATGTATCACAGAGGGTCCCACCGAGGGTCTCTGCACCCAGCAGTGGGTGTTCTGAGCAGGTACCCAGCAGGGCAGGGGAAGGAAGCATGAGTGTGTGTCCAGCTGGAGCCAAGGCGGTGCTGCTCTCATGCTTAACCGTCCCAACTGCCCAGGGAGGCAGGGGTTATTGTGCCCATTCCAGATGGGGACCTGAAGCTCAGAGAGGCTGGTGACCTGCCCCAGGTCATGCGGCTAGAAAGGGGGATTTAAACCCAGGATTTAAACTCAGGGGTGCCTGGTGCCAAGTCTATGTCCCCACACTCCACATGCTGCCTACCTATCACACAGTCCCCAGTGCCCACCGCCAAACGCTGCAGTGCTGCATGGCAACCAGAACGAACCAGCCGCAGGTATGTGCGACATTCTGGATGAATCTCACACACGACGCTGAACAAATTAGACGAACACAGACAAGCACGTGCCGTAGGATTCCTGTCATGTGCCGCC